AACCTCATCTAGGCATGAGCACACAGCCACCGAGACGTGCACCTCATCTATACACAGCAAACACAGCATAGACACAGGCCTGAACACACATGTGAGCCAAGCACATACCGATGGACGTATGAAGAGCTTCTATCTTTGGCCATGTTTGCAGGGTCAACATATAGTACTGTTTTTTGTAATAAAGCTGTTATTGTATGTGAGCATACATGACAGATTTGTTTCTGTAATGGCACCAGCATCACTGGGAGAGTACAGGTCAGGAGGATCCTAGCAAAGAGGAGGCTCTCTGTGAGATAACCTTTTGTGGTACCAGATTTATGGAGCAACAGCGGGTACAAATGTAAATGTGGAGAGGCTGTGTCTTTTGTATTTCCTCTGTAGCATGAGAGAGATAACCCACACATGAATAAATATCTCAAACTACTTGGAACTATCTTTTTCATATTCTCTTTCCTCAATTCAACCACCATCATTTAGTTTTATTGATCTGGTCCACTTCAAAGAGGGCTGTATGATGTAAAACGAGTTTACATTTACTTACAAAATACATATGAGTCAGTCGTTCTTCTCCCTTTTCAACCAGTTAATTAATTTTATAGGTTGGCTGGATTATCTTTAGAGGTCAGAAGACAGAAAAACAGAAAATATTAATGCAGTAGTTGTACGTGTCTTTGTGAAACTGGATAGAACGAGTGTAGATATCTAACTGCTGCCCTCAAAAATGGATTTGTCAACTTTAATAAACATTAAACTATAATTTTGAGTAAAATGCACCTGAAACATAGAAAACCAAAGGTTTATTTATTTCAATAATAAATCATTAAGGAAAATGTGCTTGCTATAACCTGAAAGAATACCAACCAGGCACATTTCATTTGACCAGATTCCACTAATTGTAAAATCTTACACTATACTTATATAACAAAAATGTACACTTAATTAAATTAGTCAGCACTTGGGCATTTTTTTTCCAGCTGTATAAATATCTACAGGTGTAAATCAGCTTTACCCGTTCCCCATTTTTTGCCCATCTCTATCAACCCAACTCTTTATGTTTATCCATGCAGGCACTTTGTAAATTTAACATTTGATATTTCTTTTTATTTTCACTTTCTTACGGGATAGTATTGTATGTATTTATATATAGATATAGATATATATACCAATTTGTTAGGTACTCCTGTACAACCGCTCATTAATGCAAATGTCATTAGCGAATCACATGACATGTATAATTAGGCATATTGGCACGGTCAAGACAATCTCCAGAAGTTAAAACTGAGCATCAAAATGGGGAAGAAAGGTGATTTAAGAGACTCTGAACATGGCGTAGTTGTTGGCTAGTCTAAGTATTTCAGAAACCGCTGGGATTTTTCCATATGACCATTCCTAAGAGTTTACACAAATGTTCTGAAAAAGAGGAAATATCCAGCGAGCGGCAGCTTTCTAGGTGAAAATGCCTTGTTGATGCCAGAGGTCAGAGGAGAGTGGGACAGACTGCCTCGAGCTGAGGGAGCTGCAACAGGAACTCAAATAATCTCTTGTCACAACAAAGTTCTGCAGAGGAGCATCTCTGAATGCACAACACATCAGACCTTGAAGCACAGAGGCATAGACTAAACAGCAGAAAATTGGAAAAATATTGCCTGGTCTGATGAGTCTCGATTTCGCTTTGTAATTTAGATGTAAGAGTCAGAATTTGACGTGAACAACGTGAAAGCATGGATCTATCCTATCATGTATAAATTGTGGTGGTTTAACAGGGCAGTGGTTATTTTCTTGGCAATCTTCCGACCACTTAGTACCATGCTTTAAATGATGCACCCTGCACGAGTATTATTGGTCATGATGTCCACAGTGTATCCATTTTCTGCTGGAAGCAGCTTCCAGCGCTGTCAAAAGCTCAGATCATCTCAAACTGGTTTCTTCAACATGACAATGAGTTCACTGTACTCACTTTCATGAGCACAATAGAGCAGTAGTCATGACTGCTGTACTGTACTCATGACAGTTGGAGAAATGTTTCCAGCACCTTGTTGAATCTGTACTGCGAAGAATTACATTTTCTGGTGGCAAAACGGGGCCCAACCTAGCACTAGCAAGATTTAGCTAGTAAAGAGGACAGTTAGTATAAGTATTTAAACGTATTTCAATTAGTTTCCTTAACAATCATTGCTACATACACTAACTTATTCCATGATGACAAATAACTTAGTCCTGTGTTATTTCAGCATAAGGGTATATACGTTTATATATGTTATAAAAGTCTGTGGTAGCACTTTAATATTCCTAAGGTTAGGGGTATAATGATCTTTTGTTATTTAAGCACACACCTATTGTCATTCATTTTTACAAGGACTTTTGTTTTTCCCAGTTGTGGCTTTCTGCCCAGCCAAACCAGTAAAAGCCCCAAGTGTAGCCTAATTAAATGACAGCTTTTGCTGTTTGCTCCAGTAAACTGTCATTTTGCAAAGCTGAATGTTGAAACACGATATTTTACTTTCTGCACCGACAACAAAACCCGATCTTGTGTTTCGTACGCATTTCCATATTATCGTTTCTCACAAAGGCTGGGTTAAAAGTTCAAGATAAGAGCTGAAAAAATAGAAACAAATGCAAATGTCGGCGAAACTGAGAAGTCATTCAGTCTAAGCAAAAAAACTAAATAAATCAGCTTTTCATACAGAATGAAGAAATGAAACTGAACAGTGAATGACTTAATCATCAAGCCCACCTAAAGAGTATGTTGGCATCATGGGACAATTCATATTCTCTAGTTCTCTGTGTAATTCAGGCTGTCACACTGACCTGGCTCAGAACATGAGGCATATGATGTGTTGATCCAATGAACAAAAGCTTATTGTTGCTCTGATTAGCCATTTATAGGCCTTGTGGGTCTGAAGCATGTCTCAGTCAGCCCACCAGCCACTGTGTTGAAAGTTCAAATCTAAAGTTGGAGCTCTGTACTTCCAGCCTCTTTTGCATGCTTTCCTAATCATAGCTATCCAACCTGATGCTTGTGCACGACAAGAACAAAAAATAGTTAAAATCTTCAAAGCAAACCCAGGTTTAGAATTAAAGTGCTCATTTCAGTGCCTTCATTAGTTCCAGTAAGGCATACTTCATGGTATGTGAAAATGAGGCTATATAAGGTGATTGGGGTACAGCCATCTCCATTGTTATGCTTGGCACAAACAGCAGGATCTAGTTGTGGTTGGTGTTTGCGTGCTGGAGGAAGCTAAACAGAGAAGTCTGTCAGAGCAGCTCCGAGACCATGTGAAGAACGACTGATGGAACACTTGACCCAAAGCCGTTTTCAGTTTGAACTGTCACACACTCTTATGACACAGCTCGAGGCATGCCGTCATGAGTGTTAGACTACACAGTAAACACATTCATTTGGCCATGCATTGTAAAGCACAAACCAGCTCATGGACAAAAAGAATTTATTAAACAGCTTTAAAAAAAATGTTTGTGACTCAGGCTATACCCTTTGCCCTATTTTGCCCAAAACATATAAAAAAC